TGGGTGATGGTTTTAAGACTCTTTTCCTTAGTCCGACCTTGATGTTATTTATTAAATATTGACTTTTTTCACCGGTGAAGCAAAGGCCATTGTTTTATCTTGACTGATATACCTGTGCTAAACTGAGGAATCGGAAGTAATTCCAATTATCTAATGTTGGCAAATGTCAGGCTGTGATAAATATTGTACTGAAAAGGAGACAGTGGAAAAAGTTCTTCTGCAAACAATTGTTGATAAAAGACAGTTTTATCTCTTGCTCATATCTAAGTGCAAATAGTTCTATGCCAGTCGTGCAAATGGATTGAAATTACTATCTTAATTAAGGCAGTTTGATTGTAAAATGTCAGTCTGTCTGCATGATGAACTTGCAATGCTATCTGTCAGAAAAGGTCACACATCTAATATATAGTGACCTAGTATACAGTGTTTTTTGAGAATTTCTGAATTTCTTGATTCCTGTTCCCTTTATCCAAATCAGTTCTGGATTCTTTCAGCTTTTGCTGCGTGCATGAAGAACTGCCAGCTATAATTTGAAAAAGATTAAAGTGTTAATACACTTACATCAGTTTCTTGTTTAGAATATATTCAGTGTTCAATGCAATGGAAACCCTTTGCAAGAAGTCCTGTTTGTCTACAGGTGCTTTACTAAGGAGACGTTCTCTGAGAGTGGAACCGTTGGAATTGCAGCCTGGTTCAGGAAACCATGTTGGCCTGTTCCTGTTCAGGACAGTATTTACGTTTGAATTTTAAGTAGCGTCTCAAGTGTAGCCCTGAAGATGTTTTCCTGAATGAGAGGTCTATCGTTCTGAGTTTCTTTTAACTAGTTTGTGCAGTCTGCTATTCTGTGTCCCTGTCCCACAGTGGAAGATGTTTGAGAGGCTGGTTTCTGTCTTTCTTTTTGGAGCCACCTTAGGAAGGTGGCCTTTGGAGCCACTAGCCTGACTAGAAAGCCATTTTTATGAATATCTGTAATGATCCTGAAAATGAATTGTGATGAGAGCCTGCTAATAAAGTGAGAGAGAATTAAGTGCCTTCAGGCAGTCCAACCTCTATGTTTTGTTCAAGAAGTTCCTGCTTAGTAAATTTATTTTCTTAACTCTGGTTTCCAGGAAAAAAAATATGGGTCCAATAACTTTCCCTTTTAATGGAACAGTAAATAGTTAGTTTAATAGCATAATAGTTAGTACCCTTGTGGCAGCTCTGCTGCCTCCAGCTGTCTCCAGGGCACAAAACTACCTTCCTTGCCATGCCACTGATGCTCACAGAGATAGTCGTATCGTATCGAGAGTTCTGTGAGAGGATGTTGTTAATAGCAAGCAGGCATTATCTTCAGTAGCATCAACAACACAGGAGCTGGAAGAGAATGTGCCGGGCAGAGGGGCTAGAGGTGTTAGGGAAATACTTCTAAAAGCAGAGCAGGCAATGGAGGTCTGTGAACACAGTTTAAATGGCTCAACACTTCTCTCCCACTAGGTTTGAAGTTTCTTTGTGGGCAATAGCATCTATCAAATTGAATCTTTCTGCATTTATCACATGGATGAGTCATTCTCTATTAAAACGTTTAATTGGTTTTTGGTGCCTTGAATACTAAAAGCTCATCCCTTGACTACACCAAACTATCCAGGGAAGTACTTTGTTTTCTCAGCCTGCAGTACATACTCATTTTACTGTGCACTGAATCATTTTGAAGTTCCTACCTAAATATGCATAGAAAATTCCTGAAATAGACTACTGGTAGATTTTTCGGCCAATAAGGCTACACAAACCCGAAGACAGCGGTGCCTTTTTTCATTGTTGTTGTTTTGGTAAACAGTATAGTGAGGAATCTTGAGGTCAGCTAATGGTAGATACGAATATCTTGAGCCTAATTTTATAGCAGGTAGTGTGTATTTTTAGCTAGAGTTAGAGGTAAATTTTGGAAAAATAAGGCCAGCAAAGCCAGATAACGTTTGTTCCTGGAAACGTTGCCTGAGGTGAGTGTAACTGTGTATTGTTGGGTTCCTAGACCTAGATTTAATTTCCTCATACTGTGGCCTCCCAGCGTATATGCAAACTTAGGGTTATGGCCAGTGTTGTGAAAGTAAATGTTTTAAAGACACAGTAACTGATATTTTTTCTGTAACATTTGCAAAGGTAAGGCTGAGATGGGTATTGTTGATTTCCTAGGATTTGTGTTTATTTTTCTAGTATAGGCTTTGGAAAAGGAAGGACTGCAGAGCCACAGTGATTGGGAGGTTTGGAGGTAAGTTAAAGGACAGCATTGCTGGGTTACTAGTGTAGGACTTTTAACTCCTTTGTTCTGATAGCTTCTTAGTTAATATATTCAAACCTGCAGTTACTGTTAGGGTTATGGTTAGTATTTGAAAAAGTAAAGGCTGCAACATCTCGAATGATTTGGCTTTGTTCGTTTAATGTCCCTTGGAGTATGTTTAGAAGTATTGCTGCGTTTCTGTGCTTTCATATTTAGTTTCATACCTGTAGCCTTCTGGTTTATACAAAAGTCAAGTGGTATAGCTGGGTTCTGGAGGGAAGGGTTGCAGACAAGAAATGATTCCTTTTCTTTTCTTTCCTTTTTTTTTTTTTTTTTTTTAAGATTGCCCAACTTTTTTGGGTTCTGGAGGGAAGGGTTGCAGAAAAGAAATGATTCCTTTTTTTTTCTTTCCTTTTTTTTTTTTTTTTTTTTAAGACTGTCCAACACAATAACTGTAAAGCAAATGTCAGTGGATGTTAATGTCTTATGTTAAAATTTCCATCTAAACTGTATATGTTTGCTCCCACTTTGGGCATTTGGAAAGGAGGGGTTTCAGAGGTGCAATGAACATTGCTGTTTGGAAGATCCAGGCTGGTACATCTGAAATAGATATAGATAGCTGTGAAAGTCTTTTTTTAAAACTTCTTGGTGTTTGGTCTTTATTTTTATGCTTCTCGTTTGTTTTACGGTTAGAATCCAGGATGATGGGGTCCAAAGAAATAACAATTGTTGGGGTTTCTATAACATACTTCCCAAAGAGTGTTTTTGGAAAGTATGTTTATGTCATATGTGTGTTTCTGAGGTGATGGTAACTGTCTTGTTTATATTCCAATCTTGGTTCAGGGTTACTGTTAAGATCAGAATTCCACAGGGAAATAAAGGGGAGCATAGTGTGGATTGGTGTCTATTTTTTGTGGTTTGCAACCTGAGAGTTGACACCTGCATAGTGATGTCAGGATAGTTTTAGGCTGAAGAATGTTAAAAAAGTATTTGTTCCAGGCCAACGGTAAGATTTGGAATTAAGATGGTAGATGCAGCAGATCTAGGTTTACTGTTGTATTCTGTCTTGTAGTCTGGTATATGGAGTAATTAAACATGTGTGCAAGCTGAGGGAGAGCCAGGAATCTGTGATTAGTCTTGTTTTCAAAAATATTATGGAGCACTTGGTATTTTAGGTCCCTGAAGAATTTATTATAACCTTATTTTAGAGATAGTTAAGGGACACAGGAGGAACATCATGATGATGGTGGCAGATAAGTTGTTGGGGGTCTCATTTTCACTACTTAATTGTGCCTCTCTGCAGCAGTGCTGGAAGGTGCAACTTCCTAGAGTGAACAATAGGGTTAGGAGTGCATGTTCTTCAGTCCTCTGGATTTGATGTTAATCTGTGGGCTTACTCTGCCCTTTGGGTCACAGAAGGTAAGTCTGTTTAGCTGAAATGTAGTTGGATTGGAAGTTTTGGTAGAGCTTGTAAACAGAAGCACTTTATGGAAATGGAATGCTCTAATTCTATATATTTTATTTTGCTTTCCTTATATTCAGTGCTGACCTCACTCCCTGCCCTGGCGGTGCCCCCCACTACCCCTACGAAAGCCATATCCCCTTCGGTGGTGAATGGGCTGGAAGTGACCGAGCAGCGAAGCTGGCTGTACTTGGAAGAGATGGTTAATTCATTACTCAACACAGCCCAGCAACTGAAGACTCTCATTGAACAGGCTAAACAGGCCAGCTCCTCCTTCCGCGAGGCTGCTGTCACGCAAGCGAAAATTCAAGCTGATGTGGAGAGGAAAGAGGTAATGATGCCAGAGGAGGTGAGATGACACAGCCAAGGCCATCTTTTTGGCTGAAAGATAAGCAGAGCAGTACCTTGCTGTTTTTCACTGGCTCTCGCTGTGGTAGCCCTTAGAAATTGTTTCTTAATTCCTTGATAGCCGTACCACCTAGATAAATCAGTTATTCATATCATGGGGAAAGGAATAGGGTGTTCTGGGATTCCAAGAGCTGAGGGTAGCAGACTAGTCATATAAACGGTTTGGTATTACAAGTCCTGAGCTCTTGCATCGGGTGTCCATAAATTTCTGAGACATGGACACTGAATTCTTATCAACCCCAGTACAGGGAAGATCCTGAGTATTCAGCCATGTGGCGATGCTTTCTTCACGTCAAGTGAGCAAGGCTGTCAGGTTTCCGATTGCCTGAAGAGATGCTGGGATGAAAAGAAGAGCAAGCTGTGGAGTTTATGGGGAAGACAAGCAGTACAATTTCAAGGTGTCTCACTGAGCATTGCGCAAGCTGATCTCACATGAGTCCGGTGGTAGGATGCAAGGCAGGCTGTAATGGCAAGGACTACAAGAGTATTCCCTGCAGGCTAGTACCCAGGGGCCCTTCTCTCCTCTGTAAGAGATCATCTACAAAGATTGCCCTGTTCTCCCTGCTTTTCTTCATTTAAATTGATGCATGGTAGGGACCCTGGATTCTTCTTTACACCAGTTCATGCCTGCATCCTGTATCCGGCTCCATGCACTGCTGAACGCGTTCCCCTTCTCCTGCAGGTCCACCGCTGCTGGTGTGGACTTAAGGGAGAAAGGGAGAGCAATTTAATGTGAATTTGTTCCATTGTCAGTAGCTGATGAACTCCCTTCCGTTACACCACACTATCTGCTGTTGCCATTGGCGTTATTGCTAATGTCAGCTTTCCACTGAATTCATAGGCATGAGTGTGCAGCAAGAGACCTTGAAGAAATGTGTGTGGGAAGACTTTGCTGAGAGCTGAGAACCCCTATGACAGTCCTTGCAGCGTCTTTGATATTCTTTGCCACGTTGTCTACCTAAACTCTTCTGTACGCTGCATCCTTGATGTGCAGGTGTGTGATATGTTGAGAGTCTAATTCTTCGCTGCCTTCCACCTGGGCAGAATGGGTATTGATGCTGCTGTCCAGTTTTGGGCCATCTGCTGCTAAAAAGCTGTGCAGAGCGTGGGATACTGAAAAGCTGGAAGCTTTGACACAGCTTATAGCTGAAAATCTGACTTTGTTTAACCTCGCTCTCTGCTTCCTTTTCCAGTTTATATGCTGTCTTCCCTTCTGTTTATCCTTACAGTGGTTTCTGGAAGAGCTGTTCAGAGTCCATTCCCCCTCTGATCCAAATCCATCCAAGGCAGAGTGTACTTACTTCAGTGTACTTATAGTTTCTTCTTGCCCCAGGAATGGGAGTTAAAATCACTCCTGTGTACTGATTACAAGTGCTGACTTCCAAGGCAAGGATGAGCATGTGTTTGTTTCCAGAGAAGGTCCTTTTCCCAGTAACTTTTGAATCTTCGACTATATGATTTATGCCTCTTACCATTCTTATTTTGTAATGGGTTCCTTGACAGCTTGGTATTTCGATAAACACTCTTCCTGATGGTGGTATTTTTTTGTATCCAAATAAGGATTCTCAAGCATGCTGCTTTGTGCTAGCATCTGAAACCATCTGGATATGCTGCAGGTAGCTGTTTCTGAATACCGTCTAGTGAAAATTCTGTTTTTGGAAAAACCTCTGGGTTTCTGGGTACAGGACTGGTGTCTGAAGTAACTATAATAAATGTCAAATAATTGGCCATCTGCTTTTGTGTTGCTCAAAGCTGCTTTTCTGATTTCATGAACCTTTCCCTGATTTGTAACGCAAGTCTCTTTCCCACCATAAGTTTGTCTCTGGTTATAACTGCTTTTTTGACACTTAAGGTGTATGAGAAGGAGGAATAGGAGTTAACCTACCTTTTTGGTTGATGATTTTTGCTGGATGAGTTTAATACAGAGGAAATAGGTGCTTTATCAGTATTTTGTGTTTGTTATGCCCACAGAACTCCCAAGGGCTAACGAACAGGTGGAGCCCACCTGCCACCTTTTTTCTTTGGATTAACGGAGATAGTGGATGCAGCAGTGTGGACACTTCCACGTAGGAGTACTACCAGTTTGCAGAATTTCTGTGTGGCAGTATGTTCCTACCTATATAGAAATGAAAGTTTGTTTCATTTTGTCAGAGCTGCAGAGTAAGGGCCATACAACAGATTATAATAGAGCTGTAGATTCAGCTCTTCCTGGAAGAATGACTTGGTACATAGCAGGATTAAAGAAATCTGTTAGCAGGAGCGAGCTAGTTCCCAACGGGATACACAGACTTCATTGCCATGTCTGTAAATAACAGGTATCTTAACTTCCTACAGTGGTGCAGAGCTGTTTCCCCAGTTCAGCACCCTGTCTCTTGAGCTAGTGTTAAAGCATTTTTGATCTGGTAACTGCCAGCTCTGGCCCTGTTCATCTAGCATCCCTGCTAAAGAGGGAGATAGCCTGTAACTTCTACCAGAAGAGCAAGGCAGAGAGACTGGGACAGCAGTGTCTGCCTGCCCTTCAGAGAGTGTCTGCAGCAGCCCCAAGTTTAAGCAGAGCAGAGAACAAGTGACAGGAAGAGCAAACAAAAAGGAAAACTTGCTTGTGTGCTACTTCTGTCTGAGTCTTCCTGGAAAGCAAGAAATTAAGAAGCATTAAGAATTGTTTATCACTTAATTATATGCCTTATTGTATATTGTGTATCACTTACTATATTGCATTTCACTTGTTTTATTATGCTTTTATTATGCTTACTATTTAATGAGCTTTGGAGCTCATTAAGCATCACAAATGAAGCAAACTGCTTCCATATAGCAGCAGTTTGGTTGACTTAGCTTTAAATACAAGAAGTGGTACTCTGTACTGAGCAGTGCCATGTGCTTGTGGGATCTACAGAACTCCCAGCTGTGAGAGGCAGGCTTTTACTTCTGGTTTTCTTAGAGCAGAGGAGGGATTTGTGCAGACTGTAAACTTATGTTTGTTATGTGTGAAGTCAAAGAGCAGACCTCACTGTTACATTCTGGTCACACTTGCTAATGGCATTTTCCAGGGCTGTTCAGTGGAATCTGAGGAATATGTTATTCCCTTCCTCTATATAATTTTTGAAAGTGGAAACACCAACATTAGAGAGGAATTTTGGCAGGAAAGGGATTTGCTAAAAGTAGCAAATAAAAAACATAATGAGTGCAATATAAATTGGAAGCCTCTACGGTCAGGTTTCTTTCTTAAGGTAGTATGTCTAATACTAATTGTGCAGGAGGACTGAATCCCTTACTGCAGTCCCAAACACATGGCAATACCTGGATACAAAGTACTCAAAATTAACAGGATGACTGAATTGGAAGACACTAAGAGTTCAGAAAGAAAAAACAGTCATTGAGCTGTGCAGTAATGGAATATAAATGCATGTCTTCATATATAATTAGAGAAAATATTGGAAAATACATTTGTCTTTCATTCCTCTTTTATGTCTGACTTGAAGATTTCTGTTCACTCTGCCTCACTAGTAGTATGAAGAATGTTACAGTCACGTAATGCTCTGTCTCAGGGTCTTGTAACATCCTTAGCTGTCCTGAAGAAACTATAGGTCACAGATTCCAAGCACTGAAACAGAAGGCTTCACTGACATAGTTTTCTCACACATAATTTTGTCATTTGGAAGTCCTCATATGCACTCTGTTGCCATCTTTGTCCTTTTAGTTTATGTAAATTTGTTTAAGGATCATGGTTTGTTGGGCAAACTTCAAGACTGAGAATCTCTTCCAGATTTTGTTTTCAGCTTTGTCACAAGTTACTTAGGTGCCCTTGGGTAAGTCCTGGGCCTCTGTTTAAAATAAGAATAGCACTTCCTTCACCGAAGGCTTGTGTACCATTTCGCAAAGCGGTAGGATATCTAGGTAAAAGGCTTTGTAAAAATACAAAGTGTCAACAATATAAGTCCTTAAAATAAGGACAGTTGGTAAATCTGAAAAATACAGTTTCGACATTTATGAGAATAATCTGTTTTTCAATATTTGCGTTTGAAACGGAAGTGCTCCTAGATTCCAAGGCAGGGGTTGAAAAGACCTTTTCTGTCTTGTTCCTATATGCAGTATCCCGTGTGCCTGTAGAAGGGGAGAACTCCCTAATTAAAAGGCAGAGCCCTTGTAGAATTAGTTCCAGATATGAAGGTGACTCTGTTTAAAAAACTTAGTGTCCATCAGCCATGCGCTTTCCACATATAAACAATAGGCACATGTGCAGCTGGTGCTCAGCCCATGTATGGCTTTCTGCTTGCAGAGGTACCAAGTATAAGTTATATTTGCGTTCCATAACAGTCTGAAGAAGTGATGTGCTGAAAGAAAACTGAACCATAAACCCTGCACCTCAATGTTTATACTAACTTTTAAAAATGAGTCATGCTTATTACAGAAAATATCAAAATATTTGTAAGCTTTTTTTGGCATTTTTCATTGAATATAACTGCTCTGTCAGAATTTCATTCGGCTGTTCATAGAAAGCTTTCTGCTAGCCTCATTAAATAACTTGTGGATGAGTATATCTGATTCTTTTGGGTATTGTCTCAATTTTGGTTTTACTGTATTTTTTGATTAAGAAGAAAAAAATTATGGAGAGGGTGAGTGGGTCAACAAAGGCTCAATGTCTCTTACAAGAGATATTTTACCGCTTGCAGGATTGGCCCAAAAGGAATGGATTAAAGACAGTACTTTACAGAAAGGTCTGTGTGCTTCGAAAATGTAATTTTTTTGAGAGTGCATTAAGCCATCGTTTATATTAGATGAACTTTAGGAAGGGGAGGATATGTAAACTTACCAAATCCTGTGCCAGAAGACACTGCTGGAAGATAATAAAGACATTCAGGAAATGTGTTAAACAGGGTTAAACAGTGTTCCTGTATAAATTAAAAATAATTGGTATTGAATTCTGACAGTTTTTTTTAAACTGAAATAGTCTTCTTTAAAAAGTGGTGTCTACAGGGCCCTGTCCATTTGAAAACAAGATGGAAGATTAAATCGGTTAACAGCTGGACCATCGAAATTCTTTTTTAGAAAGATCAAAACAATTCAGGGCTAGAGAGTATGAAATTAACCTAAAAAGGGTTGGGCATTTAAGAAATGTAGCTCTAGTAGGCAAATAACAGATTATACTCTCAAAGGCAACAGTGAAACCAGTTGAGAATTGGATGTTAGAAGGAGTTTTTCTAGAAATGGTTTCATGAGAGACCTGGACATATTTGACTTGATCCTTCCTCTGATCACACCTTTTCCTTCTCCTTACTTTCTGAACGCCTTGAATTCTTCACACCGTGGGTCTCGCGGAACCAGAGGACTGGCTGCTCAGATGGATAAAAAGAAGACTGAAGAGGGTTAAGTAAATGTGTGGTTTCTACCAGTACATTTCAGGGTTTGAGAGCAGAGATGGAGGCACTATTGTGGCTCAGACAAGGATAGTGGATGGCTGAACTTCCTCTTGATCTCTTTCTTGCTGGAAATCTCCCAAGAAAACAGGGTTAGCCACATTTATAGAGGTTTAAGTGGATTCTGATGGAAAGAGTTTCAGTTCTGGAACTATGGCACTTTCTCAGAACTGAAATTCAGTATGTTCACTGACATGCACATGTCTCTGCACAGGCTATTGCAGAGGGGGCTTTATTGGCAGGGACTATGTATGCAGTGATTTTCTAGTCATAAAATGCCATCTTACCTCATGCTTTGGCATCCCTATTTCTACCTTCCTCACCAAAAAGTAGTTTAGAAGCATTCTATAGTTTTCCTAGACAATTTCTATCCCGTTTGCTAAGCGTGGGTCATTTGGTCTTTCACTTGATAACGGAAAGCTCATTTCAACCTTTCCTGAAAAATTTGCTGTTTCCTCCCAGCCCAATTCTCTATGTGCAGAGAAGTGACTGGTAGAGTGGCAGAGGGCAGATGCTGCAGCACAAAGCATTGAGTCCCAGCTTCTCCACTCCAGATGCTCACTAACAGTAATATTATATCAAGAGTCACAGTCATTTTCTCCCTACAGCATAAGAAGATTGATTCTCCTGCCAGAAGTCACACCGCAAGCTTGCCCATGTATATCCTGTCCTAAGGAGAGTGCTTTGGGCTTAGACAAAATTTTCGTTTTCAAAGAGTAGCCTCAAAATAATAATGTTGAAATTTCAATACATGATACACACTTACCTACCCAATACATGAAGAGCTGGGGATGCTGTGTATGTGTTTGGTGTTGCTAATTAGCCTGGTCTTGCCTATTAGTCTAATAATGGCAGAACCAAATCATACCTCTTGTTGTATACAGCAGGAGTATTCCCTGTCTTCTCCTTCATTTCCCTAGAGAGTTTTTAAATTTGACTTTGTGTCATGGTAACATAAAGGTTTTGAAGGTTGTGATTTCACAGGAGAATAAATACTGAGATGTTAGCTCACAGAGACACTCTGAAATTAAGCCTTTAATCTCCTTATATGTTGGGTCATACTCCTGGCTAAACCTACTTTCCCTGAAGGTGAGGGTTGGTTTTGGTATTTTTTCTTTTTTAACTGTTCCCAGTGAAATTTAAATCAGGGTTAGTATGTAATCAGATTGGGCACACTTTTGAATTTCTTTGTTCTGTGATTCTTGTTTCTCGGGAGAGTTGGCTGTTGACCATAGTAATACAATAGGTGGAGGAACACTTGATTGGACTCATGAACTTGTTTGAAAGAAACGTGCAACACATCTGAGGTGTGA